TTCTGGTTCTGGAAGTTGAAAAAGCTTAGATTTCCTTTCCTGACACTTCCACTTTTGCTTGAAGTGGATTTCTGAAGCATTCAATTGCCTTTACTGGCTGTTACGGAGAATTCAAAATCACCAACCCGCTCCGCCAAAATTTACTGGCCTGCCAACTTCGGGCAAGGGTTTTACATTTAAGGTGCGCCTACCAGCAGAAACTGTTTTGCTGGTTTGGGTGTAATACGTCCTCCAAAAAATCTCTCCTATTTGTTGGAACATCTACAAAATTTCAAGTGAAAGAGGTTCAATTTCCAAAACTCCCAAATTTTTGAGGATATAACACTACTCTTTTTAAAATAACAAAACGATAAGGCTTGCCCTGATAAGTTCCATTTTGTGCGGTAATGTTAGTTACAGGAATGTCCTGCTCCAAAAATGTTGTATTTGGGATTATCCAAAGGGCGATAATTGTAACACTTATGGATGGACTTACATAGAGTTTGTACACTACGGTCACAGCTTCATTTAGATATGGTTTCCCTTGGAAACTTCTGCAACAAATGGAGACTTTCATCTGCTACATCTTCAAACTGTTTTTTTCGTCACTTGGTTTATCCACGGCGCCAGTCACCTCTACTGCTTTGGGTAAGGTCTTATACGTTTCTCCGCTAATTTCTATCGTAGCCTGTTTTATGGTAAACCTACCCCTTGCCGTAGGCCACTAAAATATTAAGAATAGGATTTTTGAGAAACTTCGCTTAACCATTGATCCATGAAGAACTAATGATTGTGAGGCCCCATGACCACCTTAAAACCTTCAAAAGGAGAGGGCTAAAGTATCTCCATCTTTTGTTTCATGGTGAATTCTACTCTAAGGCGTCATTTATACCCAACTTTCTTTGCTGAGTTTTATTTCAAATGAAACCTCATTTTCTTGGGCATAAGAAGAAACACCCATAATTTAGGGTTACGCTTAAAACAAACAAAATTTTGTGGCATAACTATTACATCACCAATTTCTCATTTTTAATTTTTTTACCCTTAACCTTTTTGGCTTCCATTTTTCTTGAACCTTCTTCTCTTCGTTTGCATTGCCTCTAACAAATTTTGAATCTGCTGTTTAGAAAGGTTGATTTGGTCTTGGTTCTGTTTTTGTTCTTCGGGCTGATCTCCTTCATTGGGCTTTTTTTCTTGTTCTTTCTTTTTATCTCCGTCTCCTTCTTTGTTCTCCTCAGGCTGGTTTTCTCCATTATCACCCTCATCGCCTTTATCCTTGTTTTCATCTTCATTCTGTTCTCCTTCATTATCTTTTTATTTCCCCTTCGTCGTTCTGGTCTTTATTCTTGTCTTTTTCGTCCTCTTGGTCTTGCTTATCCTTGTTGTCCTCGTTTTGGTCGTTTTTCTGTTCGTCCTGTTGCTTTTTTAGCATTTCTTTAGCCAATGCCAAATTGTAACGGGTCTCTTTCGTCCGAAGGATTATTTCTTATGCTTCTTTTATAGGCTTCAACCGCTTTTTGGTATTCTTTGTTTTTCATAAAAACATTGCCATGTTATGAAAAGACTTGTGTTTATCCGGCTTTTTCAGAAGCGTTTCACCTGCTTGTTTAAAGCGACCAAAAGCTTCTCCGTAACTTTCCCTATTATAATAAGCTGTGCCTAGATTAAATGGGGGCCACAGCGTTTTCCCACTTTTGGAAATAGCTCTTCTATAATCAGATTCTGCTGTGGGAAAGTCGTTTTCGGTTAATTGTTTTGTTTGCTTCCCATGTAAGGTTCGTAGATGTTTTAAGAGCCTTTTCAGCTTCTTTTGCCACTTCCGTTTCATCCTGCGCTTGTGTGGTGAATCCAACAAAAAGTAGCAGGCCAAACATCAATCCTATTCTTATACATTTTTCATGCTCATTAAAAGATTAAGTTTTTCAACCATTTTGTTTTTTCTGTCCAGAAGGAAGATATCCAAAAATAAAAACAAAAGCCCCAAGCCCAAGAACCATTGAAACTGGTCTTTGTACTCAGCAAATTGCTTGCTTCAAATTCTTTCTTATCCATCTGGTTCAATTGGTTCCTTGATATATTCAAACAGCATTTTTCTGTATTAGATCCGTCATATATTCTCCATTGCCCTCACTTGCTATTTCTGACAGGACGGATTCATTAAGTTTATTGATTACCACTTCACCTTTGTTGTCTTTTTTTAAGCTTTCAACCGACACCGTTCCTTTTAATTGGAATTGGCGAACCTTTTGGTTTCCGGACACCTATGGTAAAAATGCGGATACCATTGTTTGAAGCGTTTTCAACGGCATCGATGTGGCTCGTTTCAGAATGATCTTCTCCATCTGAGACAATGAAAAGCACTCTATTGGTCTGCTCGGTATCATCATAATAGGTTGCTAGCCAAATCTATGGCCGCGTTGATGGCAGTTTCCTTGGGATGAAAGCATATTGGTATTCATACTTTGCAGAACATTTTTGGCCGCACCGTATCCAGTGGTAATAGGTAATTGAGGGTAGGCTTGCCCTGCATAGGCAATAAATACCAATCGATCACTGGCCCAATTGGTTTATGATTTCTTGAAATTAGCCTTTTTGCCTTTTCCAATCGGTTTGGCAATATCCTCAGCCAGCATACTTTTGGAAAACATCCAATGCAAAAACAATGTCCACACCTTCAACGTTTGACAGTTTCTAGTTGTTCCAATTTTAGGGTTTACAAGTTCCAACGATCAAAAAAGTTAATCCTAATAGAAGAAGTATTTAGTTTTAAGGCAGATTTAAAACTTGATCTATTGGACCAACCCTTCTTAATAGTGTATAATCTGCAAAATGACGCTGGGTTTCTTTTTCCAGACCTGAAGAAAGAAAAAAGCCAAAACCATTACCGGGAATGGCAAGCAGTTAGAAATACATTTTTCGTCAAGTTGAATCATTCTTCCTTTTTAAATAAAGCTTTTAAGATAGAGTTGCGAAGCCCCCACTCAACAACAGCAAAGCTCCTGCCAAAAATATCAATGGCCTAAACTTTTCCTCATATTTATAATACTTAAACTCTTCAATTTCAGTTTTTTTCCAGTTTATTTTATTTCGTCATAAATCTCTTCCAACTTTTCATTATCGGTTTGCCCTAAAATACTTTCCGCCTGTGGCCTTGGCAATTTTCTTGCAGCAAACTTTTCATCAATTTCTACTTGACGCATTCCAAACCTGAAAGTGCCATCTCGGTTATAGGCAACAGGAGACAGTGCATTACCATTGTTCCTAAACCTATTTGTATATGTTTTTTTACCAAATTCCACAGCTAAATCCGCAGCCGTATTTGGTTCAATAAAACCTGAGTTGTTTACACCATCGGTCAACAGAAATAATGACCTTGCTTATAGCCTTGCTTTCTTTTAATCTGTTGACTGATGTTGCCAATCCCATACCATGGCTGTACCATCTTCAGTTCACCGTAGGTGATTTCCTTAAGGCTCTCAAGACAATTGACTTGTCGCTGGTTATGGGGGTTTTGGTATAACTTTCTCAGCATACCCTACTAGTCCAATACGATCGTTTAGTCGCTGTTGAATAAATCTCCAGCAACTTCTTTAAAGTGCAGAAAGTCTATCTGGTTTTAGGTCCCGGGCCAACATACTGAAGAGACATCTATTGCCATAACAATATCTATACCCTTAGTGGTTTTGGTTCTAGTGGAAATATTCTTCTGTTTGAGCCTTGCCAAAGCCATAATTAATAGCGGAAAGAGCCAAGAGTCTTATTATAAAAAGAACAGGTTTTAATTGGAAGCCAAGCTACTTACGGAAAATCCTTTTACACTGGAAATCTTAGAGATGCAAAGCTCATCTTTCCGTTTAAAAAAATACCACAGCAAAGCCGAGAACAGAAGGAGCAACCAAAAAAACTGAGGATTTGCAAATTCTATATTTTCAAACATTTAGGTCTGTGTTTTTACGTCTAGGTTGCTCAATATTCTACTCACTATCTGTTCGGCATAGTCATCACCATCTTCCCAGGTAATCATTACCTGTTGCATAAATCCTTTTCCTCCAAAGAAAGAATGGTATACTTTGCCTTTTTTGATTTGTCGTTGAGAGGGTTTGTTAATGTTTTCCGAACCGAATGTCTTTAGACCTTGTACTTCCAGATTTAGTGGTAAATTCTTCTGTTTGGTAATAATATTTTTTTACTCCAAAACTTTCAAAAGTACCTAAGTAAGTTCTAATTCAGCATCAAGTCGGGGTCTTCTTGTTCTTTGTAGGTGACGGAACGGTCGCAACGGAAAAGACTCCTACATAACTTCCATATGTGAAAGTTTGTAATTTCTTTAATTAACTCCTGAGCTTCTGGAGGCAATTCCACATTCTTGACGTATTAGTACATCTGGTGTTTCAATTTCAATGGGATAAGCCATAAGAACTGGACACCCATTCCCCTTCCAATAATTCTTTTGTAGGATAACCAAAAACAATTCCTTTACCTCTTTTAAACCATAATAGCAATGGAAAGGCCACTTAAATAGCAGAATTCCAGCAAATATAGCCGCCGCCCAATAGATTTTTTTTTACGCTGTTTTTTCTTGGCGGAGCTCCTCCAAGTATTCTTCAGTTTGAAGCAATTCTTCCTCGGTGGGTTCTGGTAACGCATCATGCGTCTTAACTACTATTTGCTCTACTATTTCCTGTCTTGCCTCCGCCAACAGAAGTTGAAGGTTTGGACTTGGCAAATTTTACTAAATCTTGCGGTCTGTAATTATGTTCTGAAATTGAGTAAGGTTTCATTCATCCAACTTCAAATCTCCAGCATCTTTAAGCATTTCCAGTTTGGCAATCAATTGACCTGTCTTGCTTCTCTAAGCGGAAACATTGACATCTTCTTCCAAATAGGAGCGTACAATATCTGTTAGCTCTGAGTAATATTTTATACTCATCTTGAATTAGATATTTGGAGTTTCTCCAGTTTTTAAAGTTCTTAGTAATGCACGATCATAGGTGGTAGCAATGCTTCCTTTTCCTTTTCTGTCAATGGTTTTTCTAAAGGAAAAAACCAGTAGACCAAAACCACCAATAATGAAAAAAAGGTCAAAGTATCCAAGCACCATTTTTCCAGATTTTGGCGTAGCTTTTTTTCACTTCGATTAAAGGTTTTATGTCAAACATCTTTTGTTTGGTGGTGTCAAACCACAACGTCCGCGTAG